ACCCCGCGGACCACCCCGCGAGGCCGCGAGTACCCCGCGGACCACCCCGCGAGGCCGCGAGGACCCCGCGGACACCCTGCAAGACCGCGAGGACCCCGCGGAACTCGCGATACTTGCACTTTGTGGCCCCTCTTGTTTACTACGTCAGTTTGCTTTGGATTTTGCCTTGTTTCAAGCAGTTTTGTCGCTTGTTTCAAGCAACTTGTGCGCTTGCTTCAGGAAATTTGTGCTCTTGTATTTTGTTAGGACAAAACTCTTGTTTCAAGAACACGGTTAACAAGAGCATTTTCAAGCAATATTGTGTTTTCGGTGAAAAAGCGACTTAAGCGGTGTTACCTGGAGCGCCAAAGTAAATTTGCTTTGCCCCAAGCACATTTTGTGGTAATACAAATCAAGTACAAAATGTGCTTGGAACAATGCAAATTCACTTGGATCAAGAACTGTTTTTTCTGGGTGCAGATGCGTGCGTTCTCGCGCGTATGTGAAAGCCGGCCTTTTCTTGGTGCAATTACGTTTCCGGCGCGTCCTTAGTGTCTTTTCTGTGCGACCAGTGCGTTTACACGGGGGCCCATCTCGCACCCGTTTATCGGTGAGAGTCGAAAAAATCCGGCCAGGACGACCAGAGTCAAGTCAAGACTCGAGCCTCGTCATACCTATCGACATCGACTCAGTGGAACAGAATAGTGACGACTATGCTGTACTACTGGACCCTCTGGACCGCTACGAAGGAATTCAGTAAAATGGCTTTAAAAAATTAAAGAGTTACACCATTGTTTTCGCGTGAAATTGAATGTTAATATTGAATCATAGGAAACGATAAACTAAAGTTCTGTTTTCTCGAAAAAAAATTAAAGAATAAGTTCGGACAACTTGTACTAGTTTAAAAAACTACTCTCCACGGCTAAAAATCTGCCAAACCATCCGTACCGGACGTAACTGTTTCCTTGACCGCTTGCTTCTAAAACTGCTCTCGTAAATTTGTGCACGGCTGCAGAGAGGAAAAAAGAAAGAAAGAGAGAGAAAAAGAGAGAGAGAGAGAGAAAGAGAGAGAGACGGAGGGGGAGGGGGGATCTGCGTGTGTGTGGCTACAGCGGCACCTTCCCGCTGCTTGAAACCAATTTAGCAGCTTTCAGTATAAGTTGACATTTCTCTCTGCCTCAAGTCCTTGTGACGGGGCCAAAAACTTCCTTCCTTATTCACCGAGGGCTTTCCTCTCCACCCGGTTTCCCGCATCCTTCACGGTTCGTGTTGCTCCACAACGCGCTTGGTTTTCCGCTCACCCGGTCAATCTGACTCCTAGCCCTCGCCTCCCTCCTCGTTCAGTCCACATCTCGCACCCCTTTCTAGTCACTCAACCTCTTTTCGACCCGTGCCGTGGTCTAAGCCCCAAGAATTCTTACTTCCTCTATCACTTTCTCGACCTCCTCGCTCCGTCACCTCTGGCACACTCACACACACACACACACACACACACACACACACACATTTCGTCCTGGCATATGGCTCAACCAATCACGCTCAAGTCGCTTCGAAGGGCGAAACTTGGAACGCACGTGAACGCTTTGACGGTGCGTAGCCACTCACCCTCCCCCCC